TTTGCTTTCCCTGGCAGGCACTCCTCCTATGGAAGGCTTTTGGATGACCATGACTACGGCTCCTGGGGCAACTACAACAACCCTCTCTATGATGATTCCTAGCAGGGATGAAGAAAGAAACCCCATAAACCCTTAATTTATAAGCGCTTCTGCAGCAGAGCATCCGCTGTCGAGGAGATGCCGGGCACAGAGCCCCTGCCTCAGGCAGGATTTCCAGGGGTCTGGTGGATGACAGGAGCTGGAGAGTGGGTGTGCAGTGCTGACAATAAACCTGAATTTTGGCCTTTGAGCAGGAAACCAGGTCCTGGGGCAGGTCAGCCACCTGTTGGAGACAAGGGAACCCAAATTTCCCAGGGGGAAGGGCTGGGGAGGTCAAGGGAGAGGACGGAGGTTCAGCCAGTGCTGTGGCATCCTTTGAAGTGCTGCTGCTCTGTGATTTGGAGGTGGGGTGGGGTGGGGAGTGGGGGGCTGCTGAGCCAGAGCCAGCAGTGTGCAGGGGTCTCCTGTGCTTTCACATGTCCCTTTCCCTAAAATCGCTCCCCTGTGTTGTCCTTTGTGAAATCCTTTGCCTCGTCTCACCGGGAACCACCAACAGTTATGGGGCTGCTCAGTCTCTGCTCCCTTTCTTTTTCTGCAGGTGCTTCCACGCAGAAGTTCCTAATTTAATTTTTTTTTCCCATTAAACTGTGGGGGTTTTGGTCCCAAAGCAGCCCAGGAACCCAGGGGAAGATGCACTGACCACCCATTTCACACACGTGGCTGCTTGCTCCACAGCTTTGTTTCCGTTCCTTAAACAAAACTTGGCTGCTAAAATACAGCGGAGTGTTCTTTTAATCCCCAATCTGTGTGCAGCTTTTAGTGTGGGAAGGCTGGGGGTGGCTGATGGCAGAGCTGGTTTGGGAAGGGGATGCTCAGCCACTTCTCCCTCTGGCTAAATTCCCTGCCAGTGGAAAGCAAAGCCCTCAATCCACGTGACCTCAATAAATAAACCAGCACCAAATGGCGCCGCAAAATTTTGGGGTGGCCCGGTACAGGTGGTGCAGGCTTGGGAACAGGCTCTGCTGTTCAGCCTGCCTCCTAAATGGAGCATCCCTGGAAACATCAAAGCTTGGGGCGTTTCCATGATTGCTTCCTGCCAGAGATGCATCATCTCCAGATTTCCATCAAGGGAGCGTAATAAACGCGGCCACAGCAGGCACCTGGAAAGGTCAGGAGAAACGAGGGCAGCTCTGCTTCCCAAGAGGAAGTGCAGTCATTGTGCATTTTCCTTTTCCTCCTGAGCCTTTTTCAGCCTGTTCAGGGGTCCGTCCTCTCACCTCTGCTGTGTGTTCCCCGAGCTCTTTTTTGTTGAAACTTGGTGAATAACTAGAAAATAAACCTGTGAATTGTTGTTGCACCTCCCAGCCACAGCCAGCCTGGAAAACTGTTGGGGCTGGGAGTGTGCACAGAGAAGCACAAGCTCTGGAGATGCTTAGGATGAGAAAAATTCCTTTTCACCTTTTTGGCACCCAAAAAGCAGCAGATTAGGCTACCTTGGCTAAGAAAAAAACACAAACTGGGTTAAAAAAAACCCCACCATCCGTCTTCTCTGGAAATAAATTGGGTGCTGTGTGCTGCTGCTGCTAAACTGGGGGAATAAAGGGAGAGGAAAAGCCATCACCTCCACCTAAAAGTATATAACCCCAAGAGAATAAATTCCTTTTTCAGGAAGGAGGACACAAATGGGGTGTCAGTTTTCCTGCTCGACCCTGTGCCTCAAAATGAATCGCTCTCTCTTGCCTACAATGCAAGGAAGAAGCTGTACATATTTTTGGGGATATCCCAGGGTGAAAACAGCTTCCTCACTTCCCTGGGATCAGACACCCTTCCCAGTGCCTTTTTTCCCTGTGCAGCTGCCCTGTGACATGGCTGATATGGACATGGATGATGTGTTTCCATCTGCAGAGCTGTTTGCCAGCACGAGCCAAGGCACAGGGCAGCCTAGGGAACAACAGATGCGTTTACCAAGAGAATAGAGCACTTCATTTTGGGGGGGTAATGCCCTCAGAGGGAGGAATCCCGTGTTCCAGGCAACAGCTTCCAACAACCCTCTCACATTCCCACCTCAGACCCCTCTGGTTTATCCGAAGGTTTCTTTCCCACACAAGTACAGCAGGGGAAAAGAGGGGGAAAGCCACCAGGACACTCCATAAAAAAGGCCTTTTTTCCTTCAAAAACAATGGGGTTAACCCTGCTACCGGCTTGTTCAATTTGCAAAACCAGCAAATTCCCGTTTTTCCCACAGGCTCCCACAACTCTGGCTCAATTCCACCTCCTCCCAACTCCCTCGCTTCCCCCGTTTCATCTCAGAGATATTTTATTTATGTAGGAAAAAAAATAAAAACGAAAATAGCTCGCATAGCTCTGTGCTGAACGTCCCATTCCCCAACCCCGCGGGCAGCGGCGCCGGGGACGCCGCGATCCCGCTCCGCGTCTCCCGCCTTGCCCTGGCAGCAGAGCCGCCTCCTGGCTGCTTCATCACCCTCCTCCAGACTGCCTCTGGCCACCCTAATGATGCTCCTGTTTGGCTCATTTGTGAATATTGTCAATAGTGAATACTGTGAATATTGAATATTGCGAATATCCCACGTATCACCCGCGTGTTTCCAAGCGTCCAACCTCCTCAGACTCCTGCTGGAGTTACCGCAGCGAGCAGCTCCTGGTTTGCAGCCTCCTGGTTGCTTCTTGGGCACAGGGATGGGCTCAGGTGTCAGCAGCTCAACTCCAGCTGGGACCACGAAGGAGCAAATCCATGGAAAGCGCCGCATTTCCAGCCCGGAGGTCCCGGCACGGCCCTGGGCTGAGCTTGGATCTATACAGATGCTCGGCTGCCCCCTCTGAGGTATAAATAGCACAACACGAGGTGCCTCTCCCTCACTGCGTTCCTTCCAGCTGGAAATTTAAAAACAGATGGTTTCTCTGCAGCTGGGAAGGGGCGAGACATCGGCCCCAGCACCGGGAAAGCCGCAGGAAGGGGCGGATGAACCGGAGGTTTAGCATGGAACACTCCCCACTTCCATCCCAAATGATGTTAGTGGAGCAAGCCAAAACCACACCAGAGGCACCAAACCAGCCCCAAGCTGGGGATCCCCGTTCCCCACAGCTCCTGAGCCGTTGTCCTGCGCCTTCCCAAGGGATGGAGGGCTCAGCTGAGGCCCCCAGTCCCGCATTCCCAGTCCCAGGCTCGCTGCCTTCCCGAGTTCCGCATACCTCGGCGGGCCCTGGCTTTATTAATAGCTCCGTGACCTCGTGCGCGGCTACAGGCCCCGCGCCTGCTGCAACTCCACATTTTTCCCACAAAGCAGCAGAAATCCCATCTGATTCTGGCCTAGATGGGTGGGCAAGGCAGGATTCCCTATGGCTCCCATAGCCAGCGGGCAAGCTCTGGCCAAGGCAGCTGCTGCTTCCACCCAGGATCACCTCGGCGCGCTGATCCCAGCGTCCTTCCCGCTCCCATCGGCTGCATCTCCATGGACAGGGCAGCAAAGCTCCCTCCAGCACCTCCCATCCCATAAAGCAGCTCCTTGCCCCTCTTTATCCCTTCCATTGTCCTTTATCCCCTGAAAATGCCATTCCTTTTCCTGCTGTGGGATTTGTTCCCTGGCAAAGGGTGCTGAGGGCTGGGTGCCAAGATAAACACACCGAGCAGCGGTTCAGCGTTCCCTCAGCATTCGCAGGCCCTCGTGCCCCTTCCAGAGGCAAACACCAAAAAAAAAGGAGAGCAAAAGGACAAAATCACCTGGATCCCACACCACGAATCGTTCTCCTTCCCACTACCACAGCTCAGCAGGACCTGCTCTTCCAAAGCTCAGCCTAACCAAGGGTTTCCTTTCAGCCTCCTCTTGTGGTTGGAACCCAAACAAGAATATTTCCAGTTAATAATTGGAATAGAATTAGCATCCCATTTAACAGTGAACCTGCTTGGTTACTGACTTGACCAGCACAGGTTTTACCATTAGCAACAAACTCCAAGGCTATTTGGCCAGAGTTTTCTGGGATGACAACTCCTGCAAGGCTGATGGCAGCCCCACTGGCACTTCCAGGCTTATCTGGAATGAGCAGATCTCCATCCAGGAAAGGAGGTGGAGTCACCAAGCGCCAACCAAAGCAGCAGGGAGTCTCGCTTGTACCGCAAAACAAAAATACAGAAACACAGGAGCTTGTAAAAAATGAAGCACTTCTTCTCCTAACAGTGTCCCAGGCCTCACATCCAACCATTTTTCAGCACTGAATCACGGTTTAAACTCAGCTGGGAATTTCCAGAGAGTACGTGCGTGGAAGAAGAGCACATCACGCAGTGTCACTTGTTTATTTTAACAGAGAACTTATTTTACATTTATTTATAGCAGTGAGAAAAGTGCTCCAGAAAAAGATACCCCAGTCAAGGCAAGCTACAACAGCTATCATCCAAATCCTAAATACTCCATGCAGAAAGGGGCACTGCTGGATTAAGAAAAGCTCATTTTACAACAGAACAAGTTAAAAATGAGTAGCCGTAACCTGAAGAGTAACTGACTCTTTTTTTATATCTTATTACTGTAAAGCATCTGCATGTGAAATTCACAGGAATCAAGAACTTTCTGCAATATTTAAGACTGCGAAACACCTCAGGCAGGAGGTCACACGAAGAAGGGCCGGGCTGGGGTTTTCACTTCTTTTAAAAGGCAGTCGTTCACCCCCCCACATTCTCTCCCCCCAGGGAAGTTCTAACAAACTTCTAACTGAAGTTATGGAGCACCTCTGGACTGCTGCTGAATCAGTGAATATCTCAGGCTCAGCCTGATGTGAATGAAGCATGTGCTTCCCTTCAGGTACCTCATCAGCAAAACTGAGCTGTGTACGAGTCTAAAACCCTACACCACCTGAGCCTTTGCCAGTGAACGGTGCAAAATGAGGAAGAAATGGGGGAAAAGAGCGACTGCGGCTGGCAAAGGAATCTGAACGAAGGGACGGCAGCGTACTGGAATTTTTACTGACAAAGAGTTGCTTTGTTTGTAAAAGAAGTCTCTCCCGCGGCACAGTGCTCCCCGTCCGGCCGAACGCCGCGCGTATCCCGGTCACTGCTCCTCCAAGGACAGCCGGCACCGCCCGTCCTGGGCCGTGTTGTACGACTCACAGTTCTGGCACTTCATGCCCAGGAGGTGGAACTGCACCGTGGAGCGGGCGTTGCAGTCGTTGCAGAGGATCTGCACGCACACAGGGAAGGGAGGGAGAGGCTGCAGCACCAGCAGTGTTTGCGTGGATATAAACAGGAATGATGAACGCGCTACGCGTGACTTGCCCTCATCATTTCCCCACCCCTTGGTCTGACTTCTGATCCAGCACACGTCCCTAGTGCCCTCTACTGCCAGTAACTCCGAGGCACAGCTCCATGAAAGCCAGGCAAGGGTGGCAAGGCTGAGCTCTTACCTCCACCATCATGTTCTGGTACTCCGTGGGCATGGGAGTCTGTGCCACCTCATTGTCCAGCTGGCGCCAGTACCTGGTCATGTCCAACGCCGAGTGCATGCACAAAGGACACCTGTAGCCTCTGGCAGAAAGAGGGGGAAATGTCCAAATCAGAAGATGAAGCGAGGCCATGAAACAAGTCCATTGGTGGGGACAAGTTTCATACTGTTCCAGGCAAGCAAACGCCACGAAAAAGCAAGTTTTTGCAAACAGAAGGGGAAATTAAATGCCCTTTATCCCTTTAGGAGCTGTCTTTAAGTTAGCTGGTGCAGAATTGGCACCATGACTTTTACCTCTTGAAGTAAATGTTTGGACTAAGATAATACCGAGAGGAAAGGTGTTTGGAAATACTCACTCCTTCAGCATTTCGTCGTAACATGTTCTGAAAAGGAAACACAGGTCAGTAAGAAGAATGGAATTGCTGACTGGTAACACACCTGAAGTGCACTAAGGGAACAGCCACACAGGGGTATTCCCCAAGGCAGAAGTTAAAAAAACATCCCTAGGCCAAGTGACAGGAGAGCTTCACACTGTGAAAACAGACTGAGAAGAAAGACAACCCCTCTAAAGAAAATATCTCCTGGTGAAACAGACTGTCCCCACAGTGCAGGTCCCTCAGAAATCAGCTGTAAGCAGCTGATGCAGACTGAATGCTGCTGAATAAACACCCAACACAATGCAGCAGGTATTTCCCTTTCTCAGGTGTCTGCTTTACCTGTGAAGGAGGTGACCACACGGCAGAACATGGGCTCCAACACGAGATGTGTGAATATCCTGTTTGGAGGCAAACGTAAGACAAAAGAGAAGAAAAATTAACTCAGACACAGTCAAAACCAGGGCCACACAGATATTCAGGAGATGGAAAGAAGCTGCTCACCTCCAAACATATTGGACAATCCTGCCTGGAGACATTTTCGATACACTTGGCAAATGGAAAAAGAGAAGAAAAAGTCATTCTGCTGCATAGTTTTCTGTGTTTTTCTATATTGTGAAGGTCCAATAATAAAATTTCTTATGTCTTCAATAACTGTGCCGGTAGGTGAACTTAGAGAAGGAGAAGCCACTGCTCTCCCTGTTCCTGTGGCCTCAGATGGGGCTGAGGCACATCCAGCTTCACGCTCAAGGTGTCACTTTTTAAGACACGGAGCTAAGTGGCGCATCCTCACCTTGTGCTTTCCTTGGAGACTCAGGCTCAGGCACAAATTACATTTGGAGCAGTGGAAGAAATCCTCCTTGGGGCCAATCCTGCGGAGAGAGGAGTCAGGGCAGGGCCGGTCCCCGCCGAGCCGGGCCCGCCGCCCGCACGCACCTGCAGATGCCGCACTCCTCGCAGTGGTACTGCTTCTTGTCTCGGTCAAACAGGTGGCAGATGTCGCAGTAGTACTCCCCAAAGAGGCTGTCACAGCCCTCACAGCGCTGCTGGGCCTGAAGGGACAGCAACACATGGAATGCCGCATCCAGTTGCGGGCTCCGAGAGGGGTACGGAGCTCCTGGAGCGAGGCCCGAGTGCTAGGAAGCTATCAACAGACTGTAAAATCTCTCTTATGAGGACAGGCTGAGGGAGCTGGGCCTGTTCAGCCTTGAAAAGGGATGGCTGAGGGCATCTAATCAATGTCTGGAGGGATGTGGAAGGTGCCAAGAGGATGGAATCAGCCTCTGCTCTGCAGTGCCCAGAAGCAGGCCCGAAGGCAAGGGCCAGAAGCCAATACACGGGCAGTTCCACCTGCACAGGAGGAAAAACCTCCTTGCTGTGCTCTGGGACAGGCTGCCCAGAGAGGCAGAGATATTCCAGTGAGGACACACTCCCGGACACAAGCCTGTGCCATAGGCTCTGTGATCACAGAACACCCTGAGCTGGGAAGGAACCCACAAGGTTCATTACATCCAAGGCTTAGCCCCACACAGGACAGCTCCGAGCATCCCGCCAGGTGCCTGGGAGCGCTGTCCAAATGCCTCTTGCCCTCTGCCAGGACCGAAGCCGTGACCACTTTCCCGGGGGAGCCTCTCCCAGTGCCTCACCACCCTCTGGGAGAACCTTTTCCTGCTATCCAACCCAAACCTCCCCTGCCAGGACACCGGCCCATAACCCCGACAATCCGGAGCAGGGAGGTGGGATGGATGACCTCTCCCACACCGACCCCTCCCGTGAGCTCCGCTGCCCGGACCCACCTTCTGCAGGAGGCGGCAGCGGATGCACTGCACCTCGGACACCCGGAACCGGTCCAGCTGGTGCTCCTCGGCTCCGTCGTGGCACAGCCGGCACGGGTACAGCTTCCCGCAGCACGGTGCCTGGGAAGGGAAGGACACGGCATGGATGGGGACACGGATCGGCGACCATCCCTGCCACGGCACGGCCGCCCCCCGCTCACCCACCCGCAGCCGGCAGCCCCGCCGGTAGTGCTCGCATCCCTGCTCGCATCCTTGCTCGCATCCCTGCTCGCATCCCTGCTCGCATCCCTGCTCGCATCCCTGCTCGCATCCCTGCGATCCCCCCGCCATGGCCATGGCCGCCGCCGCCGCCTGGCCCCGCTCCCCCTCTTCCGCTTCCTCACAGCCGGTTCCGGAGGATTTGGAGCTTTCAAAGGTAGCTTCCCTTCCGCCTCGAACTTTGGTGTTCTGCGTCTGGCTGGAGCCTGCCGGGTTCGAGCTGGAGGGGAGCGCTGGGGATCGCCCAGTCCAAGCTCCCTGCCGAGGCAGGGTCACCCAGAGCGGGCGGGCTGGGAATATCTCCGGAGAGGGAGACTCCAGCAGGAGTCACACATTCACAGACTACACCGAGCCCATGAAGGACCATCGGGTCCAGCTCCTGGCCCCGCACAGGACACCCCACCGATCCCAGGAGGTGCCCGAGAGCCTTGTCCAAAGGTCCCTTGGGATCTGTCAGGCTTGGTGCTGTGACCTCTGCCTGGGGCAGCCCGTGCCAGCGCTCTGCCACCTCCATGGAAAGAAGGGAAACCTCCATGGGTTTCTGGGGGAAACAGAGGGGACACCTCCCTGCTGTACACAACATCCTCCCGACGGGAACTGGGGGGTCAGCACCCATCTCGGCTCTCTGGTGACAGTGACGGGACCTGAGGGAACGGCTGGAGCTGTGCCAGGAAGGGTGAGGTTGGATGTTAGGAAAAGTTCTTCACCCAGAGGGTGGTGGTGGGGCTGTGGTCACAGCACCAGTCCTGACAGAGCTCAAAGAGTGTTCGGACAAAGCTCTCAGGTGCTTGGTGGGATCCTCCTGACACTCACCTTGGAGATGCTTGTATGGATTGATGAGATTCCTGCTGTCCTCTCCCTCTTCTCTAGCCTGAGCAGGCCCAGCTCTCACAGGCTCCTCCCCTGAGAGAGATGATCCACACCCCTCATCATCTTCAGCCTCCGCTGGACCCTCTCCAGTAGCTCCTGGTATTTCTTGACCTGTGGAGCCCAGAACTGAACACAGCACTCCGGACGTGGCCTCTCTAGGGCCAAGCAGAGGATTACCTCCCTGGACCTGTCAGCCACACGCTTCCCCGTGCAAAACCTTTGCCTTAAATCAATCTTTCTCTCCCCCACGCACCCAACTTTCCCCAAAAAACCTCCACTCTTCCCTCCCAAAACCTTCTTTCCCCCCCTGCATTTGCTCATGGCTACCTAACTGACTGCTGTGGCCAAGTGGAGCATCCACTTATGGAGACAGTCAAGCCTGGAATTGGAAGATCTTTTTATTTACAAATGAAATGTACACGTCAGGACACAGCATAGAGACAAATCCCTAAATACAATGAGTTCAGACCATATTCTGTCATGATCCATCGACGGGAAAGGCTGTATTTTGTGGAAAAATAAGTTCCAAAGTTAATGACACCATGTGAGTTGTGACAGGTGATGGAAAACAGCTGTGAGCAACACAGGGACAGCCCAAAACCGACCACAGACAAACTAAGGGCAAATAAGCCAAAATGGTTTCAAAACGGTTGAGTTTTACTGTCCTATTCCCCTAAGGGATCTAAAGCAATGATCACTCGAGTTACTGAGACATTCCACGTGTCACCTGCATCACAGCTCAGTATTCCACAGGGATATTCCTTCCTTCACCATCAACAACAGCCAGACAACATTCCCAGGTGAACACCCCAAAGACAACTGCCCAAACATGAAGGGAAAAGGAACCTAAAACAAAGTGACAAGTGCGTTAGCAAGGGTTTCAAAGGAACAGCTGCAGATTTGCACATTTAGATATTGTATTTCTTGCACAAATGCTTTTCTTCACTGTCAAGGCAAAGGTGCTTACCAACCCAGATCGGGCAGCCCACCAAAACATGGGAATTTTGGCAGCTATTCGTTGAAAAACAAACCCCTCACGCGGGCAGCAGCTGGACAAAAGAAAGCCCAGCTTCCTTCAGGAGTCCTCCAAAGCAGCTCCTGCCCTTGTCACACACCAATGACCACTACTCTTCTCAGACAAGACCTGGCTCTAAGCCAGAAGATCAACATTCCAGGGGCTTTTTGCGTGCAAGAAATCCAGCAGCAATGGCAGTGCAAGCTCCGTCCTCAGCCTGGACCTGAGCCACTTCCGTGGCAGCCTGCTGCACCAACAGGAGTAAGGGATCCTCCTCTCCCCTGCAGAGACCTGGCAGCTTTAGCCCCTGGAAACTCAGATGGATTGTTCCCACTGTTCAGTCACCTGCATCAAGAGGAGAAAAGGAGAATGACTCTGGACAGACTAACAAAACACGGAGCTGCTCCCTGGCAAAAGGCTTCCTTTATTTTGATTTGTTAGGCATCCATGCCTTGCTGAAGCTGTGCGCTTACACCTCTGTGCTTCACAGATGAGAAAAATTTGAGGTTTTTTTTTCCCCTCCTCACATGCAAGCAGCCAGCTTCCCCTATTTTTGTTGTTCTACCATCTTGCTCAACCCCTCCAAGTTTGTCAGCTGCTTCGTTTCCAACCCCAATGCCCAGCACTTCAGCTCAGGAAAATGATTTACCGGGCACAGCGAGCTGTGTACCGCCCTCAGTAAGGAGTCTCTCATCGCTGCATGTCCTGACCAAGAATGTGAACTATAAAAGAATTTTCCTATTGCAATTCCCATCCCTAGCTAAGTGTTCATGAAACCATCCATTTGGAAGCCACCAGAAATGAAAGCCCACCTTTTACAGGCAGGTGTGAACCATCTCCCCAGGGCTAGTGCTCGACCCTGGGCAAGTTTGCTTCTGATGCATCCGGCATCAAGGTCCCTGACAGCTGTGAAATGGGAAAGAAAGCGACAGGATCAATTTCCAACTGCAGCATAAACAGAGAAGACAATCAGAAACAGCCTTCTAAAGACATATGCAATGCCAACACCTAACTTAAATCTGTTCTTTGGTCAAATGATGGTTCTAAAATGCTCCCCCAGGTTAAGACTTAAGATCCCAAGGCAAATTCTGCTCCTTTAGGAGTCAAACTGGACTTCTGTGGACCACGCTGTTGAGGAAGTCACAAACCAAACAAATACAGAGCAGCACAAACCACTTTATTGCCTTGATACCTGCTGTGAAGCCAGACTTGAGTTATGAAGGTCGATAGCTGCAAGGGAGGGGACTCGGGACTCTGCAAACATTCTGTTTTCCTTTTTCACAAATCTGGGATGCCGAGCTGCAAAACACAACCAAGGCACTCCATGTTAAGGGAGGGAGAGCAGACACGCTGCCTCCTGACACTTGTCTGGTACCCAGGTTTTATTTACAGCACCTCAAAGTTCCTACCTTCCGCTCCTCTCAGCTCAGGGAGATGATTTAGTTCTGGCAAACGCATATCCGGCTTGGAGAATTCCCATTTTTTCTTACTTGCCTGAAGAATGGGTTTTTCATTAGTAACCAGTAACCAAGGGAATAAGGAACAGCTCATGAAAATATAGGAAAAAAAAAATAAAGCTATTTTTCAAGCTTAAAAAAAGCAGTAACACAGCAATGTTCTGATTTAGTTGGAATTTCTACAAAAGCGAGACAAAAGACTCTGATGTGTGTGAAGGAATTCAACCTGCTCAAGTGCTGTTTATACATAAGCAATAGAAAAGCAACAGCAAAATAAAAACAATCATCTAAGTGAGGCTGCTTTCAGAGAGATAAAATACAGCACTTGGAGAAGGACTGGGATTAGTTATCTGGAAAAAGGCAAATGTTGCTGGCTGGCACAGAAATAATCATGCCTAGGTAGTGAGGGCAGAGGAAAACTTTCCATTTCACTTGTTTTCCTTATCAATTTTTAATGCATTTATGGCATGACTAAGTAAGGCCCTGGCTGCATAAAATCCAAGCCCTTGGTTCTGCTTCAGTAGCCCAGCACACATGGTCTATCTTTCCTGGCCAGGCAGGAGACCATGGATATATTCCAAATCTCACCGATACCCTGTGCTGGACTGCTCCCCTCATTTCAAATTGTTTTCTGACATATTTTACATAAGAACTATTAGCACTGGATAATGAACAAAAAATCTGCAGGAGAAAAGGGATAACAAACCCAATATTTCTAGTGGGGAATTGTGGTGAAAGACGGATCAGTTCTTGAGAATACAACACACGATTGAATTTATTTTTGCTCGGCCAAGGGGGACAGACAGACAGACACACTCACCGGTGTCAAGATGACACTGCAACGGCCCACTGGAGAAGGCTTGTGTGCCTTTAGCAACGGGTTCATGTATTTTTTACTCTTTTCACCAAGTCTGTAATCAGAAATGCCCCAAAACTGGTATTAGCTTGGGTAACACAGCGAATATAAAGCAACAGACGCAAGGTATCCCAGACTCCAAGTCTCGCATTCCCACCCCTGCACCTCCCAGGACAGACAGGAATGATAGATAGAATCTCTCTTAGCTCTGCTCCCATACCTGTAACCAAGGTTCCCAGGCCCAGAACCTATCCCAAATGTAGGAGAGAAGTTCTGGTTGATGGGAGGAATAAATGTGCCCAGGTTCTTGGCGCAGTCCAAGCTGCTGCTGGAATCTTTCAGGTTGGTCTGAGGGCTGAATTTAAATGGTTTGATTGTGCTGTCGTAGAAGCCCAGCTTGGAGGATTGATCTGCTTTCTCTGCATCAGGTTTAGAGGGCTTGGTCTTTATCAGCTTTCCCTCTTTTCTCCTTTGGCCCGTGCTGAAATCCTGTTTGGGAAGACAAACATTTTGTTACAGTTGTGTTAAAAAAGCAGTTTACAGCAGTGCATGCAGGAAAAAAAACACGTCAGAAGCCTGCATGTGCATGATTCTGCAAGACTCTAATGGAGATGGAATTGGTTTTGTTAGGAAATCTCTGCTTTCCATCAAACAGGAGAAAACTTGTCAGGGCTCCAGCACGCTCTGTAAATAAGTCACTTGAGACTAGAATCAGAAATGATGGAGGAAAAACAGCTGTATCCCATGTCTCTTCCAAAGAAATTAAATAAAAACTCATCTGAAAATCACTCTGAAGCATCCCTGGAATCCAGTTGAAAGGAGAATTTTTAATTTTGAAGGCAGGGCTTTAAAACAAGTTAACAGCAGCATAAAGCATGACTTATACTTCCCAAGTGATTCCCCCTCCAGCTCTGTATGGCCAGGACCTGCACCACTGTGTGGTTCACTGCAAGAGACTGGCCAAAGAACCACCTGCACTCCCAAGCTATTTCCTAGGAATTTAAACTGCTGCACCGATTTTAAAAACAATGATTTTAAAACACAAGAAAAACAAAACGAAACAAAACAATACTGGTTTGGAAAACATAGATGGACCAACCTGGACGCTGATCATTTTTCTTTCTTCTAAAACATCGTATTTGTCCCTTTTAATGATTTTAGGTTTTTTTTGGAACTGATAGTTTCTGATATCTTTCTGGATATTTTCTTTAAGCTCCTGAGTAAATCTACATTCCATATAAGGAGAAAGGAAAAACAATTAATAAAAGGGCTTCTGTTTATCCTAATATCATCATCAGTTGCTAAGCCCAGGCTGGCTCCCATAACCTTTTATGCAGTCAAACCAACTGTGCCTTTTAACTAAAGAGAAGCCAAATACAATGTATACACTAAACGAAATAAAATCTTATCACACATTTTTCACAAGACAGCAATAAAGGTGTTTGCATCCCAGTTTGTGGCAGATGCAGAGAGTGAAGACAGTGTAAGACTATACTATCCAATATGGGGTGCCACTGATGAATTAATGTCACAACAAGGTACATGTGCCACTGCAACGTGTTCCCTTCCAACTGTTCTCCTGTTTCCAGGAAGGTCAAGCCAAAACAAACGGAGACATTCAGGCCCAGTGTGCAATCTTCAAGCACAGCTGCTTCACTTCTTTCTAACCTGAGCCTGCAGTGAGCAGGAAAGGAGCTTTTACCTTTCAGCAAAGCCGTCCTTGTTGAAGAAATCGCCCTGCAGGAGTTGGGCACAGGATGGTCTCTTGTCTGGGTCAATCTGCAAGCACTCCTGTCAAACCAACGTGAACAGGAGGAGGTAAACACACCAGGAATTAAACAAAGGCTTTGGCACGTCTGAGT